TATATATATAATACGATAAATAATATAATTTATACGTATAGAAAATAATTTAAAAAGTATAAGTAAATTTAAAGAAAATTTTTGGCCGTTTGCCAAAGCTTTCTGCCATATGAAAAGGGATATTTCCTGTTATAAATTGTTTAGAGTAATTGATTTTAAATAATGTATGTAAGCATTTCCGAAATTTTCCTTACAATTATTATATTAAAAATTAAACTTGACACTTTTTCTTTTTTTTATGAAGCCAGTAAAGTTATTAAAGGAAGTAAAAATGCTTAAAATGTCTTCCCACTGGGATTTTCTTAGTATTGAATCCAGATGTCCGAGGAATACCATCACTTAACAGGAGAGATAAGATCTTTATCTACCTGGTAGGACTTTTTCATACAAAAAAAAGGAAAGGAAAAAAGAAAGATTATTTTTGTAAAAAGTTTCCTCTGACCATAACTCAAGAGATAGAAAAGATTTTACTACTGATTTAAAACACTCTCTCGAAACTTTGTCAAGTCTATGTTTTTTTTTTATATGGAAGAAATTTTGTTTCTATAAGATTAGGTTAAAGAGAAGAATAAACTGACTTATGCCTGCGATTACCGCTTTTTATGTAAGGCAAAGAAGTTATATAAGGCTAAAATGCTAGGTGGCAATGGAGGCAGACACACACACATCTTATCTTGTTTTCACCGGATGTCTGTACAGACCAAAACGGGAAGTCCTCCAAATTTTTTTTTTTTTCTTTCTTTCTTTCTTTGTTAATTCTATTAAGCCTTAGATCTAACAAACATTTCGGAGAAACTTTAACTTTGTATCTCGTATTGAAAATAACAGCGTATTAATTATTTTAAATGTTTTGTTATTCATTTATAATATTCTGATTTAAGTAAATTAAATGTGTATACAAAGTGTACTCTTCAATTTTATATTTCCTCAAAGTCTCTTCCTTCTACAGTTTTCTAATACAAAAGCTTTTACCGTATTATTCTTAGTATTAAAAACATCACAAGTTTTAGACTTTAATTAATAAAATATTTTATAAACACGTAATTCTTTCTACACTTTTTTCGTGCATATTTTAAAGGGATTGCATGTTATTTATTTTTAAAAATATTATTTCGTGGAATGTTACAACATTCTTTACGTATAATATTTCAAATGTTTTACTTTTTTGCTTTCACTCGTTTAATTTTTGAAATAGTTTTAGCCAGTTGTAATACTTTGCTATCTCTGCGGCAGTGTAAATTTACTTTTTATTAATTAATTAATTGTATTATATTTATTTATATTTTAAATTCTGAACTGACGATATGAAGAAAGACAATACTACATTATTAATCAAACCAAAAGTATAGGCCTATATATATTAATAGGCCTTGGAGAGGGGCGAATGACCAAGACGGTTAAAGTGTCAACCTACTGTTCTGGAGGATTCAGAATCGAATCCGAGCAATCCCCGAGATTCGGGGCACATTTCTTGGGCCCCATCTCTAATCCACATATGTTCTTAGGGCCTCATCTTTTATTCAACACGCATTCGGGGCATATTCTTCGGCTCCCACAACGGTGCAGTCTGGTACCACCCGGGTGATCCGTTGTGGGAGCCGAGGAATACGTTCTAGAATGAGACCCTTCGTCATATTCATCGTGGATCTGGATGGATATGATCGAAAGGGCCTTCACTGCCCGTAGGATAGAAAGAAACAAATAAAATGTTCTTAATGATAATAGTTATTAAGTAGATGTATCAATACTTAAGATTAAGAAAAGTGAATAAATATAATAACATTTTTAAGATTTATAATTTTACGTTGTTAGAAAATCAAATGGTTATTTTACAGTACAGTCGACCCACCTATAACACTGTTGATAATTCCGTTTTGTGTGAATTCCATGCTGTACGAGTCACTTAGATTTTACAAATACGTGAGCCGTTCACACGTATTTGTAAAATCTAAGTGACTCGTACAACATGGAATTCACACAAAACGGAATTATCAACAGTGTTATAGGGGATTCGACTGTAATTAAGTTTTCTGTTACACCGCCATCTCTTGTCGAAATATTAAAAAGTTTATTTAAATAAAAGGAAAAAAAAACTTCTGTATTGATATTGCTGCAATTGAGAAGCATGTGTAGTTATTAATAACATTTTCAAGATCATTTTTACTAATCTATCAATCGTTTGGTTTGTCAGTTGTCGATGTGATGTAATAAGCGATCGATCAGAAGTCAAGTAGGCGTTGCTGACATCTTCAATAGTTACAGGATCAAAAATTGGAAAGGTCAAATGGACATTAAGAGGACTTTAGAGTTCTAAAACTTAAAAATAAAAATCTTAATTGCTTTTTCTATTATATTGTAATTAATATTTTACAATTAATTTCTAATTTTAAAAATATCTTTTATTTTATTCGAAGGAAAAAAATCTTACCACACAATAAATATGTATTTGAGTTCTATGTATTTACAATACTGTAATTATCAATTTTTTATTTTACTTTGATCTTAAGGTTACGATCTCATCGTCAATATTGTAAATTTATATTTAAATCAATACATCGCTTTATGTTACAATGTTATATAAATTTACCACATGAATTTCGTATTCTCTTAATGCAACGTAATTATATTTCGAAGCGATTATTATAGGAATCGAGTAATTATCTTGATACGTAAAGAATAAAGTTTATTTGTCTGTTCTTTATGTATTTGGAGATGGTACGAGCGAATGTAACCAAACTTTAAAAAAATTATCTTCTCGTTTAGGAGAAAGTTAACGATTACTTTTTGTATAAAATAAAATAAAATAAAACCATTCTCCGTCTTCGATAAGGTGGCTTATGTATCTGACTAACGAAACTGGCATTCTCTAGTATTGAATCACTACCAAACTTCATTCTATGAGCAGGAAATTTTCTAAATTTCTTCATTATTAATTGTACAGTACATTATATATAAATTGTTTAGAGTAATTGATTTTAAATAATGTATGTAAGCATTTCCGAAATTTTCCTTACAATTATTATATTAAAAATTAAACTTGACACTTTTTCTTTTTTTTATGAAGCCAGTAAAGTTATTAAAGGAAGTAAAAATGCTTAAAATGTCTTCCCACTGGGATTTTCTTAGTATTGAATCCAGATGTCCGAGGAATACCATCACTTAACAGGAGAGATAAGATCTTTATCTACCTGGTAGGACTTTTTCATACAAAAAAAAGGAAAGGAAAAAAGNTAACTCGTCGTTTGTGACTCATGAAAATATGTTATTTGATACACCGATAAACCTTACATCTGTAAAATTTAATAAATAATATTTTTATATTACGAACATTAAAAGTATTAGCTAAGGGTAGTAAAAAGTCGATCTAAAGAAACTAAATATCCATTAATAAATGGTATATAACTGAAAATTTCAAAATAAAAACTATTCACAATAACGAACTATTTGTTACGTATAGATTAATAGTGGAACACACCAAGTTAAACAATTTTAAGAAGAGTTCATTTTAAATGCATTGCATTCATTATGTGATGGATGAAGACGGAACGATCCATCATACTCACTCTGATTATCTTAATCAGAGTACCTTTGTTTTTGAATTTCGATCGAATTACTTTGATATAGTTTTGAATTTTAAGTGTCGAAAGTTGTTTTTTTTTTGACGTAAACGTCAATCTAAGATTAATTATTTATCTTGACTAATATAAATTTTACTTGATATACTTAACAGAAAAGAAATACAATCGACCCCCCCCTATAACACTGTTGATAATTCCGTTTTATATGAATTACATATTGTACGAGTCACTTAGATTTTACAAATACGTGAGCCGTTCGCGGCCCGCACACGTATTTGTAAAATCTAAGAGACTCGTACAACACGGAATTCATATAAAATTATCAACAGTGTTATAGGGGGGTCGACTTGTATTTCTTTTCTGTTTATTTAATACTAAAATTAATTAATTGTGTTTGATTTTTTAAAAAATATTACTATTAGATAATTAATAAAATACATAAAACATTTATATTTTTATTTAAAAAATAAGACTTATTGATGGTAAAAAAAATAAAGTTTCTGAATATATATAGTATACACCTATGTTTAAATAAGCGAGACTGCATAAAGTCCGTATAGAATTTCAAATATAAATGTTAATGTTGCGACTAGATTTGCGACAGTTTTCGTTATTGAGGTCAGCAAAAAATCTTAAACGGGACAAACAAGCTATTAAAGAACAAGTAATTTTTAAATAACCACATATTGATTTTTTAAAACAAATGTATTATGACGTAATTTTTATTATTTTAAATTATAAAATAAGAATAAAATTTTACGATTTTTTTTTTCTTTTTCTTCTTTTAAATATCTAGAAAGGAGTCGTCGTATGCGAACAGCAAATATGTCCCTATGCCAAGGGGTGCTACTTTTTAGCATTTGGAGAGAGCCGGTCCTGTTGCGACGTTTGTTTAAGTAAATATTCTTAATAATTAATTTCTCTTTACGATTTATTCTACGTAATTAAAACTTACGAATTTATTTAAAGGTTGTAACCACGAAGGCGTATCTCACAATAGTGGATCGGAGTGGATAAGTTCGAAAAATTCGTGTTTAACTTATTCGTGTCAGGTAAAATTTAATTTATTTATTTAGAAATTTTGCATTTTTTTCTTTTTTGTACAGTATTATTATTACTTTTTTTTTAAAAAAAAAAATAACAGTCTGGTATCATAACTGAATCTACCATACATTGTCAAACATCGTGTCGTCACCCCATTCCTCCAGAACCTAACGAATGTTGCCCGAGATGCCAGGGTATGTAACAATTAAATATTGCTTTAAAAAGGTTCAAACGTTTGTAATAAATCTTTAAACGGTTTATACATATAGTATATAACACGACAACGTTTTATTAGAATAAAAAAATTATCGTGTGCTGCCATCTCGTGCTAGAAATAAAAATTTTTAACGTTATAAAAAAAAAAAAAAAATAGTTATCTCGTCGACTTTTATGGAAATATCTTAGTAGTAAAGAAAATAGTTCAAGGATCTTCTTAAATGTTCAGAATTGTGCTTCTTTAATACGTTTATCTTTCCGGTCATGACATCTGCTGTCGAAGTTGAAAGATAGAGTGCAAGGACGTCTTTGTTTTCTCATATTTGATCGGAAGTGCTGTGTAGGCGGTTAGATAAAAATGTTGTTTTAACTACACACGACATTTTCTCGTTTTATTAATAAATATATATATTTTTTAATATATGAATTAAAGACGTTGCGAAATAATATATTTAGTTTTATCTCTTGTCAACAGATGGCAGCATGTTACATTAGAAAATTCATTATTATCGATTATTAAAGTATACTGTTTTATTTTTAGGTTGTCAAATTAATGGAATAAATTACACAGACGGTCAAACAGTTCCTTCTGATTCTTCAGATCCTTGTCTTACATGTAGCTGTCAGGTTTGTCTATTTTACAAATATACAGTATTCTCTATACAAATAAATACAGTAGAGCCCCCTATAACACTGTAGATAATTCCGTGTTGTACGAGTCACTTAGATTTTACAAATACGTGAGCCGTTCACAGCCTGCCACACGTATTTGTAAAATCTAAGTGACTCGTATAACACGAAATTATCTAAAGTGTTATAGGGGGTCTACTGTATATATAACATACTAGGGGTATTTACTTTGTATTTTTTTTTTTCTAGAAAGGAAATGTTGTTTGTAAGAAAAAGGCCTGTCCAGTTTTGCCTTGTCCGCAGACCAAGTTCGTCCATAAACCTAACTCTTGTTGTCCGGAATGCCGAGGTAAATATTCAACACACGACTTATACCGAAAACTTTTATTATTTAATCAAATAATTATGTTTTATTTTGTATTATATTTATTTCCGTAGGCGCTCGAAAGATTTCCGATTTTAAAGATAAATGTTTAATCGGTTTGGACATCCATAAAAATGGAGACTCTTTCGTTTATGATCAATGTACTCAGTGTTCCTGTAATGTAAGAGTATATTAATTATGATTATTAAAAGTTATCGTATTGTACAAATATATAATTTACATTAAAATCGATAGACGTCGACGACTTTTTGTAAGCGTCAAGTATGTCCACCATTGGAATGTCCTCCTTCTTATCAGATAAAAGAACCGGAGCAATGTTGTCCCTATTGTCAACGCCCGGAAGAGAGAAAGACCGTTTGTAGGTCAGGTGGTCAAATATATCAGGCAGGTCATTGGATTTTTATTTTCGAAAAATATAGCCGAAACTTAAACCTATAACATTTTTATCTAATTACCCGTTTCCTGTATTTATGACAGAACGGACAACACTGGCAAAATGGTTGTTCTAACTGTTACTGCCTTCAAGGGAAAGTCAGATGTTCTGTTGAGTTTTGTAAAACTTCTAATAAATGTCCCGCTGGCCAGAAATTAGTCCATTTACCTAAAAAATGTTGTCCAGTTTGCGTCGAAGGTAATCATATTTTGCTTCTTTCCCCCCTGTCTTTTTAATGATACGAATAACTTTTCAGATTGGTTTGACTCAGTTAACACTATTAACACTATAAATATAAGTTTATAAGAGTTCATTATTTTTTAGAAATCACGATTTTCATATATTTTGGATTTACTAGACGATGGTGTATGTACGGTGTTCGGAGATCCGCATTACAGAACATTCGATGGGAGGACATTTAATTTTCAAGGAACGTGCAAATATACTTTGATCAACGATTGTGCTCATAAAAGATTTACAGTTCAAGTAGCGAACGAAGCCAGATATTCTAAGATGTTTTCGTGGACAAAATCTATAATTTTGAAGGTTCAAAAATCGTAAATAATATAGTAAGGTTATATAATTAAATAATTTATATATAATTTTTTATTGTAAAACTTTCAGATAGACGATACTAAATTAGTATTGGGACAATATAGAAATATCAAAATTGGAAAGAAGCGTGTCAGACTCCCTTATATTAAGCTAGGAACTTTATCGGTTGTAGAACAAAATTATACAGTTACCGTCAGAACTAATTTAGGTAATTATTATGTATATAAGTTTAGAAAGGATATCTTTTTTTTATTGATAAAAATAGTGTATTATAATGTAATTTATTAAAGTAATTGTTTGTTTCGTGATTAGGAATTCGTTTAAATTGGGATGGAAATAGTTATTTAGAAGTGTTCGTGCCTTCTCACTTTAAAAATCAGTTGTGCGGATTGTGTGGTAATTATAACGATAATCCGGAAGATGATTTCACTACGAAGAAAGGAAAACTGGTTTCTAGCCCGGAAGTTTTTGGAAATTCGTGGGCGGTATGTTACATTTGCATTTATATTGTAAAAATATTAATGTTGAAAGAAACAATGGTTGTGTTATTTTAAATACTATCGATGCCCTTTTCATTTATACAACAATAAAACATTTTTTTTTAAATATATAAAAATAAAATAAAAACCATGCTCTTATATGTGCAAATAATTCTATGCCAGGTATGCTCTTATAAGCGAATCGGGACATACGTTACATTGGAGCTGTAAAGTGGATGAGGCAGACCCTCCCAGCCTAGAATGATCAGAGACTTTTGGACGAAGTTCTTTCTTTGATCTTGGTGGAGTTCGTTCGTGACAATGATGTTTTGGTTGAAATATTGAAATATTACAGCTCCATCACCATGACTCCAAACAAAAGAAGATCACCCTCTTCTTCTCTTCTTCGGTCCTTTGACATTTTCAACGGCTGGTTGGTCTTTGTTCACTCATAAGCGCTTTACCAAACGCTTTGCATATATCTTTGTTGCGTTGTGGCCACGTTTGAAGTGATAGAACATCACGCGAATGTTTCTTCGAAAGTATATTTCTCTTGTTAGATATTGCTGATGCATCTATTCCAATGAAATGTGTGATCAGACATCCTTCGGTTACTCTCTGTATACCCACATCGAACGTTCTAGTGTATTTTCTTCCAGTCGTTTCTAGAGAAAAATCGAAATTTTACCAATACAACCTGATATACTCGTATATTCGATCCAGAGTTAAATCGTGCGAACTTATTAATCGTAACTTTTTATAGAAGAAAATTGTTTTAAATACAGTCAAACCTTTGAACAACGGCCACTAACAAGGACAAAACCTGCCGCTTTTTGTTTAAAAAATGTCCGCTGTTTAGAAGTGGCCGTTATTAAAGATTCGACTTTAGTTTCATTAACATAATAATAATAATAATTACGATTGGAAAAATTTTGTGTAGCATTTAATTGTCACGTTACATAAACAGTAACATTTTAGTAGTGTTAACGAATGTTTTTTTTCATTAGGTCGGTCGAGGAAAGAAATGCTTAATATCGAAATCTCTGCAGACCACGCATGCCGCTTGTGAAAGTAACTTAAACACAAAGGTTAAAGCCATTTACGAATGCAACGTTTTAAAATCAGATCTGTTCCGTCCCTGCCATAGTACAGTGAATGCCATGCCTTACTATAGGTAAGTTTATATTTGTTTACCTACTTTGTATTAGAATTTACTGTAATTTTGAACCGAGGCGTGAATGTAACTGATACGTTTTGCAGATCGTGTGTGATGGACATGTGCGAATGCCCGATTGGCAGGAAGTGCCATTGCGAGTCACTTTTCGCCTACGCTCAGCATTGTAAACGATTAGGAATACAGTTAAATTGGAGAAAGGATTCTGGATGCGAAGGTAATTAATTATATTTCTAATCTGCTATTTATTCTACTGTTTTTTAAATGAATAAATGAGATTTAAATTTTCTTAAGGACACTAATTTGACCTCGTTTATTCCAATTTCTTCGGAGAAATGCACATCTCTATATGAAAGAGTACATCTTGTCGAGTGTGGCTTACTTAAATTTTTTTTTTCATTTTGTATATATTTGATATATTTTTTTAATCGATAAATGATTAGAAATTATTATGTATTTGTTATTTTCAATCTCCAAGTAAAACCAGATACTTTTTATTACTTGTGTTTATCGTAGTTTTTTCTTTATTTTTAGTAGGAATGAAACTGCATTTGACAATAGGATTTATTTCAACGATTTTATTTCCATCTTTGTAGCCTGGCAATCTGTTTTTACGCCCACGTAATCAGCTCTGTAAACTTAGAAATGTCTTTTTCAGTTAGTGTTAATTCTGTGATTTCTGTACTATTTATAATTTAATGAATTACATTCAAAATTAAACTTTCTATAAACAATTTCTATAAAATCTTGCCTAAATTCAGTAAAAATGAAGATTATGATGTACAAAAAATTTCATTTTTACTAAATTACGTGTCTTAAAACCATTTGTTTAAAATATTTTTGCCACTCTTTTGTTTATAATTTTATATTGTACAGATTTACATTTCGAATCAGATCTGCATCACTCCCCTAATACATAAACCTCCCTGAAAATTTCATAAATGTTCGACAAAAGACACAGGATATTGTTTCAAATACTGTAACTCCTGTGGGATATAATAGGAATCTACAAACTAATAACTGTAGTTTGTAGATTCCTATTATAGTTATTTATAACAAACGAATGCTGTAATAGTATATTGAGGATATTTGTCGTATCAAATAATGAAATTTTTATTTTGTTTGATCTGTATCATTATGATAATTAGAAAATAAATAAATAATATTTTTTCAGGAAGCCATTGTCCAAAAGGATCGGTGTATAGAAGTTGTGTTTATCCGTGTCGTAAAACCTGCAAAAACTATCAACGAGCAAAGCCATGCCGAAGAAAATGTAGACCAGGTTGCGAATGTGCAGAGGGTACAGTATGGTATAGAAATAAATGTATTCCAACACAGCTGTGTCCAGTATAACTAAAAGAAAAGAATTTCCGTTTCATTTCATTTACCAGCAGGTCTGGTATTTCAATTTATTTTATAAGCAATGTTTATTTCATCTGTTTTCTTTGGTGAGAAGTTCCTTTATATTGAGCGTGCCTGTGCCTTTATTTTATAAACTACTGCGATAAAAAGGCTCTAAATAATGAATTTTTATTGAAAAAAAGGGCTGGTTCCTTCGATTAAAAAGGAGAGACGAGAAGTACAAAATGTAAATTGTGATAACCGAAGAGATTCGTTAGATTTTTGACAGAAATGAACCTTATTTGGTATTAACACGCACACGAAATGTTAATATATATTACTATTCACAGTTATGACGACTGATAAGGCTTGAATGATGGTTCCAAGGTATGAAGATACCCAAGTAAATTGCTTTTACTACAAAGTTGAAATGAATTAATTCATTATATTCATATGTAAGTATATTTCAAAAACAATAAAATTGCCAAAATTTCAATTTATTAAAAATATGTTAAAATTAGTTTTTTGAAACATTCTGTGTATAAGTTCCTTGTATATTACATATGTTACTAAAAAAAATATATATATATAAGCAAATTAGCAAAGCAGACTTTGACAAAAAAAAATAATAATAATGTTTAAATTGTTATTGTGCTCAAAATAAACATTTTTCTATATTATTAATTAATAAATTAATTATTAAGTTACATATATTTATTCTTTTCTTTGTCTGCTATAAAACATACGCACGCAATATTTAGTACAGTACTTAAATTATGTCGAACAATATAAACTTCTATTTATTGCGCTGTTAATGATCGAAAGTGAATGGGGGAAGAGAAATTAAAATCAAAATTTAAAAAAAAAACACTCAACAGTATTAAAAATTATATTGTAAGTTATTTACAAATTGCATAAATTATAAGAAAAGTTCATTTGTTTTTTTTTTAATCGAATAATGATTGATTGTGTAAATTTATTCTGTCTTTCATTTATTTGTACATTATTGTAATAAATATGCACAGCATTTATGTTTGTATTTAATTATGCTAGTCAATATTTGTCGCATTGTAATTGAATGTTCACTGCGGTATATATTAATGTAATTTAAAAAAAAACAATGTAAATTTTCAAAGGGGAATATCTGTTATCAAAATTAAAAAAAAAAAAAAAACTGTTGATGTTCCCCAAAATAACTAAATTTGTATCCATTTATCGTTGAATAAAATGCATGCAAATGTTTGTTTATGGTTTTTCTTTTTCTATTTATACTTTGTACTTTATTTGTTAATAAATAATTGATTTTTTTAAGCTTTATTAAATTAATAATTTATCATTTATTATGAATTTTTCGTGGCTAAAAGTTTTGAAGTAATCATTATTACTTGATTTTTTATTTTTTTCAATCCAATTGATAAAGAAATTACAAGAAAAATTTCTAATTTATCAACCAATATTTTATACTATTTAAAGAAATTTATTTTGTATGATTAAGAATTGTTTGATGCAAAAATAAAAAATTTTTTTAAGAAATTAAAAGATAAAAATCTAAAGCTGAATATAACAAAACATAAAAGTGAAATAACTTTAAAAAAAAAAACCCACAAAAACACTAAAAAAATCCAGCAACGAGTTGCTTGACTTTTCCGGCAACATTTAGTGGCGCCAACTGTTTTCATATTTTATTAAATAAAAAACATTTTATAATTTTTAATAATTATAAAACGGCAAAAAGCTTAATTTCGAGGCTAGGGATGAATTTTACAAAAAATTGTAAGTGCTAATAACAAGTAAAATCGCCATTAAGTCCGACTCTACTGGAGATACACACGACCATTCTTTATCTTCCCATTCCCTCGACTTTTAATCATCAAAATTTAATAGGATCAATCCCTCTAACAAACAAATCTCCCTGAAAAATAGTAATTTCCGACAAAAAGTGCAGGAGTTATTAAACTTCAAAAAGGGGTGAACAAAGTCGTGCCCTCCCACATACAAACACACACACACTAGCATCCATACATACAGAAAACTATCCTGAATTGTTTAGCATTTCTCTACGTTTCAAGGTCCCCCGAGTCGAAAAATGTAAAAATTTTGAACCAATCGCCATACGTTTCCTCCATTATATATAACAGAGCTGGAAAAGTAAAATTAATGTGTTCAAAAATCAATAGAAGAGCTTATTTTCGAAGAGACGTATCTTCAGAAAATGCAAATTTTAAATAATTGCTTTAAATGTTAAGATAAAAAAAATTTAATTATTGGCACAGAGCTTTATTTTTATATTCTGAATATAAGTTTAATAGTGAAAAAACAAAAATTCAAAAGTGAAACCAACGAAATTGAAGCATTTAAATGGAGAATGCAATAAATGCATTGTCCAAAACCTTTAATATATAAAAACAAAACAGAGCATACAAATAATATACAAAACAAAAGTGAAAATCACAAACTTTGTTCATATGATTGAAGATGATAAAAAATCGAATGTTTCCAGTTTATTTAAAAGTCTCTCCACATTATCTATCTTTTCCTGTTTAGTCCCCAACCCAATGGTAATGAATTAACTATAGTTGACCCCTATAACACTGTTGATAATTTCGTATTATATGAATTCCATGTTGTACGAGTCACTTAGATTTTACAAATACGTGTGCCGGGCTGTGAACGGCTCACGTATTTGTAAAATCCAAGTGACTCGTACAACATGGAATTCATATAATACGGAATTATCAACAGTGTTATAGGGGGTCAACTATACTAGACATGACCATTTTTTTACCTTTTTTTAAAATTGTATGTTTGCATACCTCTCTCTATAAAAATAGTACTGTTTGCAACAAATATATTTAGAATTTATTCTGATTACTTTCATTTCAGATACTTCAAACTCCATTTTTGTCTTAATTAATATGTGAATGAACTTCAAGTTTCCAATTACCAAGTTGCCAGTATCAAAGACAAAACATGCAGTGTTATCAGGTAGTGATTCATTCATCAAATAGTAAAACTATTTAGTTCTTTGTGTGTACAATACTAAGAGTTCACACGCTATTTTCTTTTTTTTTTTTTCGTCATTTTCGCTTTTAATATGCTGATTGCTTTTACTCACAATAGCTCTACAAATGTCAGCTCGAGGAGTGCCAAAACCGAGGTGAAATGAAAGCAATAGCTGATTTTAACTGATGATTAAAAGTTGACCACACCATCACGGATCCTCCACTTTGTACAAGACACGATAAAAGATGAGGTTGATGCTAATAGTTTCGCACACCATCAGGACCAGTGCCGTAACTAGCCATTCCTCTGCCCTGTGCAAGAATGCATTTAAGCCCCTTAATTAATTAGGTTTGGGAAAGTAATAAAACTAATACACGCATTTTGGGTCCCCCTTCCAAGTGGGCCCTGTGCGGATGCACCTGTTGCACCTGCCTAGTTACGGCACATATCGGGGCTATCCACTAAAAGCTGTGCGATTCCATAAATTTGAATGGCCAACATAACGCATTGCAGAGCTCGGCTGCCTTTCCATACGGGAAGTTATCAATTTTGGCTGCGCGCATTTTAATGTACGCAAGGTTTGCAGATCTTTCAGAATAGATCGCGTTGTTTTTGATGTTATAGGTAGCTGTAGTAAAGTTATAATCTAACTAAATGATATACCAGAGAACATTTTCTTAACATTGCTAATAATAATATGTAATTTTCCGTTCTGAATATTGCCCTATAATCTCTGGCAGAAAGTTTTTTTGGCCTACCACAGCTTTTAGCTTTTCCATAATTGTAAGTAATTATGAAAGCTAATAACCAGATGGCGCCACCAAAAAAATCCTAGTATTTGTAGAATAGTGTGTACGAGTCTCGTGTTTAAATACCGACTAGATTATTTTATATTTTAATTAAGTTTAAATCTATCACCGTATTATTTTTGTATTTAATTATATAATAATTTTTTTATCATTTTAAAATTTATTACTTATATAAAATAATTAAAATTTAAACACATAAAAAAGTGTATTATTTTTTTTTTTACTAAAAAGTGAAAATTATCTACACGAAATATGAATATTTCATAACTAAAAATAAAAATTAAAGAAATAAAATCATATAGTAAAGTTTATTTAATTTAAACACGTATATATATAAAAGAAAAAAATAATAATAATATGTCGACGATATCTATGATTTAGTCGCCATTTTGCGCGTGAACATCGAAGTCAACAGCTTCCATCATCGTATTGATAAGAACAGTTATTTATTACGTGGCACTTTAGAAATTAGAATTTATATGAGAAAATGTCTTCTGGAGAGGAACAAGCCGATCTTAAAGCGGGCCATCCTCCTGCTGGTGAGTGTCACTTAAATATTTACAATTAAATCGATTATGAAAACTTCCACGCGGGATTTGAAATCGATTAATTAAATGATATATTTTTAAATGTGCGTAAGGTAAGTTTTCCTTAACCGTATGGTTCGGTATCAAAGTTACATTTGAAGAAATCAGCCTTACAGAATTTAATTGCAGTTACTTTCTACTTAAATACATGCTTAATCAATGATCTAAAAGTAACTTCTACCCAGAGTTTAACTAATGCACACTGAAATTGAATTGTTTATTTAACATATGCATATATGAAATTTTCAATGACTTATATAATATAAAAGTTAATATATATATAAAACAATATTAACTCGTTTGTTAACGTATCATTTATTGCCTTGAAGTGCCCCGTATCTTATTAAATACGAGTTTAAATCCTGTTTTGAATGTGTTTTTTTTATTTACTAATTAATATTATATATGTAAATAAATATCTTTTTTTTTTTTTTAGATAGCGCAATAAGCTGACGTTGCAGTTTTTACTGTAAAGAGAAATGTGAAAGTAATTGGATTTTTTTTATTGTAAATGTGTGTAAAATTTTGGCTCGTTTTCATACGTATATAAATATTTCAACTTGTTTTTATTAACCTCATTTAAACGTTATAACGGAAGTTAATATTTAAATACTAATTCGTTTCGTTTAATTTTTCTAGTAGAAGTAAAATTTCTGAAGAGTAATTGCCATTTAGTTATTGGTAAGAAGTAGTTTTGGGTTAATTACTGCAATAGAAATGGATATACTATTAACTCAAAATACGCCATATTCCGTAATTAAATAAATTTGTTTTTATTACTGGATTAAGGTATATTTTGAGTTAATTGAAATAGTATCGGTTATGGTATTGGTTAGGGACGGCGTATTGAGAATATTATCGATGGCTGTTATCTTGTTTGAAAAATTGAAATATATTTTTGTTTTAGTAATGATTTCATACTTGATATAAATTTATTTATCTCAGATTTGTTTTGTTAACAAAAATTGATAATTCTGATTATATACTGTATTTACTCACATATAAGATGAGGTTTTTATTCATTTATTATGGCTTCAAATTCCTGCGTCATTCTATACGCGTGAGCGAAAGATTCTTTGCATTTTTGCAAATAATTTTTGTGAACTGTGTATTTTCATTTTTTACCGGATGCTTACTCTCTTGTATTTAAAAAAATAAGTATTTTATCTGGGTCATTTGAATTGTTCTTGTATATTGTCGGGAGTAAAGATGAATAACAATAGGAAAAGCAAAGGCTTTGAATTGAATTCCAGATCGAAATTTCAAAATTGCATGAGAGCGTGATATAAGTTTTAATTCGTTCCCATGTGAAAACAGAAACTCATAAATGTAATCGACGGTGATTGGATTCGATTGTTTTTCTGTTAGCAAAAAAACATTCTGTATTGTCCAGCTTTACATGAACAAATTATGTTGTTGATTTTACAATATTTTTTCTTAAAAGTTTAAAATGCCAGTAATTTTTGCAGGACAATGTATGCATTTACGTTTGATATTTTACTTGTGATTAAACAAAATAAAATTAGAATTGTATTAATAAATCTAATTTTCTTTATTTTCATCACACATCATCCTACATGAAAGTCGTCTTATATGCGAGTAAATACGGTATATTGTTTGTAAATTTAAGAAAAGTATATTAATACACATTTGACACATACACACACAAATAAAATATATATATTTAATAATTTTAAGTGTATTTGTAAAGAATAATCACATTTATTATGATAGGATGTGATGATAAAAACTGTAGATAGTGATTAAAAAAACCTGTGTGATAAGTATATTCTTATGATTTTTTCTTATTATATTATAATGTAATAATAATGTACGGGTATCCCTCATAAAATACGGCACTTTGATGTGGTTTTGCTCTAATGTGGTTGAAAATTGGGGATATCCCTCATACAAACAACGTCTAGTTTCACTCTAACATGGTTTGGGAAATCCTCTGTACAAAATTTCATAATTTTAAAGTGTAAACTCCGTTATTCAATATTTTTTAAATTCATGTAAGTATGCATGTTGTCTGAAATTCGCCCATGGATTTTAGAATATTCAAATTTACAATTTGTTTTGTGCCTTTCATCAGGTTCACTTTAATGAAAACTGATAGTAGAATTTTTTCTTCCTTGTCCTAGCTTTCTTATCAACCAGGTGTCATTGTCGTAGTTTTAGACTTTAGCCTTTAAGACTAATCTGTAAAAAGAAAATGCAGTGACAATCTTTGTATTTAGTAAAATTTATTGAAACATTTTTAGTCAAGTGTTATTAAACCTTTTTTAACTCTAGATATTATCTACGAATGATTACTTTATTCATAAAAATGACAAATAAAATACGGCAGTATATCAGTATTTGAACACAGATTCTGGAAAATAAATCATTCGTTAGTCAACTGAAAAACACGGCCCTCTAAAACAAATTTTTGATTAATGACATACTTTTATTTTGTCATCCATAAAAAAATTATGATAAAATTAAAAAAATGAAGATGTCGCTGATATTTCTGATCAAGATCAACAAAAAAGTTCAATAGATGACAATATTTTGTAAAAAGAAAAAGCCCTTATTTAACTAAAATTAATATTAACACATATAGTACTTTTAATTTTGATTGTTAGTTAATTATTGATTGCTTTCATAAACATATTTCTCTTAGTAATGATAATATATGTTAACTTCTGAAATCTGACTCCATGTTTTGTATTAGTCCTTTATTTCATATAGCACAGGTTTGCATAACAGAGCACTTTTTGGGAACATAACTATTGTGTTATAGGAGAGATACCTGTATAATAAAAAACTGCATTATAAGTATTTTATTCTAAATGATTCTGTTGTAATAATCTTTACTAGATAATAAACTAAAAATCTACAAGAAGGAAAAAATAACACTTTTATTTCATATTTCTATTTATAAATATATATTTTGCAATAAAAAGTCAATAACTAGAAAATTTTTATTCATTTATATAATAGCCATCTAGTTATAATTAAAATTGGTGAAAATAAGTTATTAGAATCACATGATTCATTATGTGATAAATGCTACATTTTATGTATTATTGAGTTTTTCATGTGAAATAAAGAAATTTTAAAATGAAATTTGTTACTATATAAGTTAAAAAGTTATAATAAAATATAAGTTATATGTTCATAACTTGATTCAAAAATGATAATAATGATAGAAAATTTTTTGAAAGATTCATAAATAAATTAGAAATTATCATAATTTTTAGTTCAGTTGAAAATTTATAAACTCATGAGTGAGTCTAGCATGCAAGTCCACTAGTAATCAGTTTGTATATGTATAAGGCCTCAAACAACTTTAGATGTTCAATGTATGGTGTGCTGTTAGTAATTCTCGCTTGGCTAAAGTTTGGTTCTATCTCAGGATCACTAGCATAAATACTTAGAGCTGTGGTGGTCCTGGCGTTGTACATCTGTGATGTGCTCTTTTACTCTAATGCTCAAGGAATGCTTCGTAGAGACAATGTAGCAGAGCTCTCTATCGCATCTGTGATCTTTTATTGGGATGTTGTAGATTCCTGGGAGTCTATCCCTGCTAGGAACGTCCTTTCCATTGCGTAGGAAGTCATAAATGGTTGGACACCTTCTATATGTGATGTGAATGTGGCGTTTCCTAGCTATCTGTGTAAACAGTGATTGAAGATACGGGTTATAAGTGACCAGTATCCTTTCTTCCTCTTGTCAGTCTTTGTTAGTAATCAGTGTTAATATGCTATGAGAAGTAGAATATTAAAATAATAAACAAGAATGATGCAATTACAAATGAAACACAGAATTTAATAGGAATATATTTGATATTCAAAATTTTTTTAGATTAAATAATTTTTAAGACTTTTCAGCAATTTATTTTAATTGAAAGATTGCTTTAAATTAAAATAAAAATAAGAATAAAAACATAGAGTATATAATTCTTGGAATATTAGTGATAAACTCATCTTAAAAACAGATTGTAAAATTAACTTAACTGTTATTATCAATATTACAGCTATGATCTTATAAATACTCAGTCCTTAATATGATTGGAATTATTCTTTGCAACTTTGGAATCTTCTCATATTGTCTAGATTGTCAAATGTAGCTATGTAATACATGTACACTAGAACCCTGATGTTCTATGTTATCTGAGGCAAACTTGTAAGTGAATATACTGCTTTTCTTATATTGTACTTCATAAAAGAAGGTTTAAAACAATAACATGCGTTACATAATGGTTTGTTTCTGTTACCTTTTATCATTTAATTTTAGTTTGAGATAAATAATTCATGTTAAAATATCAATCACATTGTATGTGTTAGTTATATAATAAATGATGTAAACATTGTTGATATTTAAGTGAATTTAATTATATATAAGTATAAAATGAGGCTTAAAAGTGAAATATCTTGTAAATATTTGAAATTTTTAACCCAGAATGGTAATTTATTTTATCTGCGTTTTCAGTTATCCAAGGTAGCATGGTCCACATTATCTCAGATAATTGGCATTCTAATGTACTTTTCAATTTATGAACATGATTCATTCCTCAGAGTTGTTTATTATAAATTATTTTTACACCTTTTAATTACTTATGAAAATAAAAATAATTACTAGTGATGTAACGAATATTCGGTTACTATTCGGTATTCGGCCTATTCAGCCTATTTTTCACTATTCGGCCAAATACCGAATATTTAATCACTATTCGGCCGAATACCGAATACTTAAAAACAGGATAAATAAATAACAAAAACATAGTAAATTAATCATTTTGGTATTTAGATTTAATGTTATCGAGTTAGTGTTGTTTGTTTATATTTATTTATAACTTGTAACATGCACAAAATAAAAAAGAAAATAATATTAGTCACATGTATTCAGAATTTATAATTACTGTACAAATATCAGCACACGTACACGTCTATCGTTGGAGAATCCTC